TATCTCTCTCCTTATTGGCCTGTTGTTCCTTTTTTCTTTCTTTTTTCGAGGGTTAATTTGATTCTTACGAGGGGCTGACCCGAGACATTCCGAATCTTAGTCGCTTGTCCATGCTTTTGTTTGATGGGAGATACAAGTACTCTAATCTGCTGTCAGTTGTTGGAGGGGGGCACTCGTTTGTGCTGTAAGTTAGCGCTTGATGGTCTGTCTACAGTACTAGTACTTTACTCTACTATATCATACGGGGTAGACATCCTGCCAAGGCGCACTGAGAGCATGCTCAATTAATTACAGTACCCTGTTTGCCACAAGTCTGTTTTCCACGTATGATATGACACTCGTACTCATTCATCCCCTCCGTCTGATGCCTCTAGGACTCCTTAAAGGGATTTATCGATGAAAGCGCCTGGGTGGGACTTATCCTTGAGACTTTTTATGACTGTGTTTTCTCTCTTGGAAGTCAAAGTAACGTATTTTTTATTTTATTTTGGCTATGATACAAGTGAATTTTTGAATTTTGCTGGTAAAAAAAAAAAAAATGGGGGGGGGGAACGTTGTCGAATGCTAGCACAAGCGGTTTGAACAGAGCAGGGGTTTCATGAGAGGTATGATGAGATGTATCAGAATCATGGTTTATCACTCTAGTTTTTGGCAATTGGGGTTTTGAGCGGGTAATGGTATGATAATATTATCATACTTATAGTATCATAATATCATATCATTGCCGTGTTTGTCCCTCGACGGAAGGGTGGCGTTTGTTTGCTGGGGTGGGTCAATCTGTGGGCACCCGGTTACGAACCCTCTCGAAACATTGCTTGAACTGCGTAATTGGTATGATATTCTCTACTCCAGAGAGAGATGCTGTGTGTCGACTGACTGCCGTCGAGCTTGCATCTGTAACCTTTTATTGAATGGTCTGCTTCACAGTCATGTCTTGGGCTGTGTGCAGCAATTGTGCTTTGATCATCATTCGGATTTTGACATATATCGTGCAGGCCTATGCATGACACCCTTTCCGGATTGTGTATCATACAGTAGCTTATTAGGCGAGCCCATCGGAAAATAAATTTGCCCTTGAGTTTTTTTCTTTTTTTTTCTTTCTGATGCTCCCTATCGCCGCCCTTCTGGTTCGTTTGCTCTTGGAGCCCTCCTCCTAACGTTCGCCCCCCGTATCAGGTCAGACCTCTTGATACCGCAGACAGTCTATCGGTTCACATGGTTCTAGCCTCTCAATTTATTAGAGCGCTATGCACTCACTCGGTGCATGCTTCATATCCCACACCAGAGGAGCTAAGGTGCTGACAATTGTCCAACCCCCGGGCTACCAATCTCTGTACCAAACCCATACAGGCTGCTCCCCTGAGGTACCCGAGTGTGTATGATGCATGGCTGCATCGTTTCTTTCACCTTTTTAAGGGAATGACCAGGATGATTCGGCAGCGGTCGGCGGATGCCCCGGAAGCACCGGATACGCAGTGGAAACGCAGCTGAAGAGTTTGATTGAGATTCGGAACAGCGTGCGCGCATCACGAGAATGAAATACTTGTGGGGGCGTGCACACCGGAATGCGCGGGTGGTGGTGGTCCTATGGTGGGCTCTCGCCTACCGCCGGTGGTTCCGGTGGCTTTTGATAAGACGACAGGTGGTCACCCTTGTGTATCACGCAGTATATCGATTTGGAGGTGAATAGAAGCTGATTTATGTATTGTGAGTTGAGGACATAATAATACAGTAGGAAGCAATTGAAACGAATGGAAACGTTGACAAATTTTCTCCGGATTTAGCAGTTTGGGGGAAAACAACGAAAGAACGGAATATGCTCCTGATATTATTGAAAGCATAACTTGAAGCAACCTGACCCTTTCCTGTTGGGTGAGTTAACGCTTGGCACACGAAAAGCTCTCTCCGTGTACCTTTCCCATCTATTTTATAGATGCGGTGTATTATAATATTATAATAATATGGGACTAATTCCTGTTTTATTTTTGGAATCGGGGTTTCGAGATGCTGTGCAAGGGGGTAGCTGGCCAGAGGAGGCACTGGTCCTTTGATGTTTGCTGGGATCGACTATCCATAGCAGGCTCAATGGGTAATGTCTTTCGCTGGGGCAATTACCACTGACATTTGAGTCCCCCGTGACAAGCATGTGAGTGTCGAAGGATCTATCATCAGAGTGATATTTTGTGATGGCGGACAAACGTTGGAATGCTGTCAGCACCTGATATCCCGGTACTCCTAACCTTGTTGTCAAGGACTTGCTAGAAAGTATGGGCTCTGCGAGGGGGATCATGGGGTTTTCAGGCCCAATTCACCCCGGGTCAGATACTTGCTAACCCCCTGCACCCCGGGCACGATATTAAAAAATTTCCCTGGGGTTGTGTCTATCGATTACTTGTGCGGCGGGCAGGTCATCACGGAAGGTATCATTCGGGTTCGGATTAATGCTCGAATACCTTAACTGAAGTAAGTAGAGTTTGGGTTTAGTCTATCATACTTCTCTTAACCATTCTGTCTGGCCGAAGATAAACTAATCACTTCCAATCCTCACCAGTATGATGTATACGACCGCCCTTCTAAAAGAAACTTCCTCAACCCTCAGCACTCGGAAGGTTCGTGTGGTTCGGCGACAAGTTTGTTTGGGCCTGCGCTGTGTCTGCGGAACCGGTATAGGTGGACTTGAGGGGGAAAGGATACATAGTGTGGTTTTTCCACCAGTCCTCTAGCTCATCTTCCGCCCTCTTCTTGCTGAGTATACATGTTTTTTTTGTTTTTTTTTTTAACAAAAACCCTCTCCTTAGGGGTTAGTCATGGTCCTTGAGAAGGGGAATTGAGTCTGGAGAGAGAGGAGACGGGGATGCTGGCAGGCCGCAGTCACGGCGATGAGCGATCTATTTTGGGGGGTTAGTTTCGTAGGGTTGGAAGGGAATAGAAGGTGGATGGAAAGGAATGAGTGGGAGTAAAGAATGGTATGATATCATAAGAGTTTACGAAGTTGGGGAGTTGTCTTACGGGAGGGATGTGTTAATGTAGGGCTGCCTGCTTGATGAGGTGGTGAAGATAGGTAAAGGCCTGGTAAAGGAGGTATGATACTGGAATAACAAAGGGGGCCTCTACTTTTTTTCGGAGGGATACTGGTGACAAGAATATTGGTGACAACAAAAAAGTCGAGCACGACTGGATTTGGGGGCTGGTTGATGATTACACATTGGCGAAGGCGCCCCACAATCATTGGACGAAGCCCAATCATCGAACAGCCATTGCATCGAACAGCGCAAAATATCTACATCAAGTCAGGGTTCTGAATAATGATAGCATGGCCGAAAAAAAAAAAAAAAAAAAAAAGGTATGATAATATTATCATAGGCATTAACTTTTCCCTGGACCTACTTTTTCCCACCAAAGTTTTTGCTGGTTTATCGCCAACAGAACTGTAGTCGGGTATTTAAAAGAGAAAAGGACCAGGGAGCCACTCTCTTGCTGGTTTGGGGACACCGATGTTTTAAGTTTGTGTTGGGGGGTGGGAGAATTGATGTAAAGTTATTGCAAACTCTGGAGGAGGGAGCGATTCCCCGGGCAGGGTATCGGCTGTCAGTTGGTCTTTGCCAGTACACGAACTACAAATGATATGGAATACAGCACTCGTACCCCCCCCCCTATTGCACAGTAGTAATCACACCTCCTAATCCACCACTAGACGAACCCGTTACAAGCTCCGAATGCGAACCTAGACGGATTACCAGATTAATCTCAGAGCGATGGGATATGACTTCACTCCATAAGGGACGCCCTGTGGTCCAGCGAGCCCTGGAAAGGTGCGGTATCGGCAGGTTAGTGACTAATACTGTACGGCACTTCACCAACTTCGCGCGAAAAGATGGAATGGAGTGACCGGCAGGTGGCATATATCCGGGCCGGCGCTGTCTGCTGCTCGGGGGGGGAGGTGGGGGTGGGCCCGGACTGGGCCAGGACCTGAAAGCCTGAGCTTTGGATCTCCGTTACTCTTTAGTCGTTTGTGTATCAGGTGAAATCTTGAAAGAAGGGAAAATACTCCGATAGGGGGCCCATGAATTCCTCGGGGTTAAACTGGGGTTTTACTTTGAGAGTCCAGATTGGAAGTCCCGACCCAGTCTACAAGAGAAAATCTAGTCCAGGTCTGTGCCAACCGAACACTACCGGACCCATAGTCCAAAATCCGGATCCCGGGCCCGAATCCGGGAGCGCCAAACGGGGCCTTAGTGGTTGTGGGACGGAGGTTTAACGCATCAATGTTCGGGTGCCGTTGGTGGGTTGGGTCATATCATACAATGACGAGGATGGGAAGATGCGGTATTGAAATTTACCAGATTCCCCAGTGGGAACGTGGTATTGCTGCTTATCATACAAATCTCCATAACAACGAAATTAAAAATCTTCTTAAGCCACGTCCTGGTAGGCCGTGACCAACGAACAAGACGAGAGATCTGCCGGTATGGTGACGGGGTTCCGTTCGATCTCGATTCACAACCTCTCACTCACTCACAACCACAGATCATCACTCATCACTTACACCGTTTCCATATTTTTTTCTTCATTAAATTTTTTTTCCCGCCAGCAGCCATCTAACATACATCTTTCGCCATCCCACCGACCTCCCCAATCCATCATACACCCATTTTAGCAAAACACTGCGGAAAAGAAATTGTGGGAAAAAACTCTAGCAGCCAGTTGAGACCCCCCGCCAATGGGGAAAAAGGATAGTTATACAAAAACACGGAAGAACCCTTGCTTACTCTCTCTCTGCCCTTTCCTAGTGCCTGCTGCTGTCCTACCGTACCACTACTTGAGAGGGGAAAAACAGTAAAAATAAGAAATGCCCAGGATGCAAATTACTCCGTTGGTAGTTGTAGAAGAGAATAGAGAATAGATATTCAATGATATGCAATGCTCGTGACATTGAGGGAAGTGGTTTAATAAGTGAAAAAGCTAAGAAGAAAGATGAAATGAGAGGAGATTTTGGGTCATTATGAAGCTGAATTGGCGCTGCCTCCTCCTCCTACTTCGCCTATAGATCCTCCGGCCCCGACAAGGCTACTAAAGCTATCTGTTATAGGTGATCTTAGGTCGATGAGATGCTGCGGTGACTTAGGGGCGGGTTCGGATTGGGAATGCTCATTTTGAGCGCTGGTTGCAATAGCGCCTCCACCCCCGACAATGTCTTCCCCATCGTCATCATTCTCATCAGTTTCCATCTCCGCAAGCTCGCGATCGAATTCCTGCGCAAAGCCATCAAAGTCGTCCTCTTCCTCCTCATCCTCTCCTCCCGCATCCAGTGGTTCATCAGATTCTTGTTCTAGCTCTTTCTCCGAAATCCCATCGAGGGTTCCGGACGAAGAACCCGGAGTATCGGTTCCGGAGGGGGGTACATAGGAGGAGGTGGATGGAGCGACGCCCTCGACAATTCTCAACCCGCTACCAGGGCGGCTCCTAACCATCTTTTGGCGCTTCGATAGTCTGGAGCCTGGAATTGAGTCTTCGAGCGAGGGATCGCCTGTTTCCTCGTCTGGGGTGGAGCTTCTTGAGCGCTTGCCAGCCTTCTTGGGGGCGGAGTCTGTGTTCTTGTCATCGAATGCGTTGCCGTCTTCGGCTTCGGTATCTTCATCGTCGGAGCCTAGCCATTCTTTGAGCTCCTCATCTACGTCCATCCAACCTACGCCTGTCATATCTGGCATCTCGGCAGTCGAGAATTCTTCGGTATGAACGCTCTGCATCTCGTCGTCATCTGAGTCGTCGTCTTCGGAGGATAGTATTGGACCATCCAAACGGTGGTCATCAGCACCATTGAGCGGTCTTGGATGGCGATCTTCGGGGTGGATTGGGAGTAGATATGACTTCTCCGGCTCCTTCCTCCAATTTGAAATCGAGTCGTAAAGCCATTGTGGCGTTACTATTTTGATATGAGGGTATTTCGACGCCGCGCGTCTAACCTTTGCGGTCCGGCTCTGGTAATAGTCAGTCTCCATAGGAATGTTTGACCATCTTCTTGGATCAAATACCCTCGCAGCAACTAGATGCGTTACTTTAGAATGTACGTCATCTGCAACAGCTGCGCCAAAGCTTCTACACCAGTGCGCGATATCGGAGCTATGGGGAAAACGGGCTTGGTTAGAGGGTTTTTTGCGTGACGGGGGTACTGATTGACTTACTTCTGAACTTCTACTCCCAGTGGGATAATTCCAGAAAAGACTAGAACAACATCCCCCAAGGCTTGCGTCTTCATTCGGGGCATTATCACTTTGACATCGGGAACAGCCTGTGGATTAGTATCGCTGAGACGTCTCTTACTAATCTGCTTCTTAGAGTCCTTGAGCTCGGAAACCCTAGAAGATATAACGCTCCCATTCTTCTCGTATAATTCGTAAAAACTTCGGTGCACTTCTGTCAAGTGGCGCTCAAGGGAGATTAGTTCAACATCTTGGTCATGTAGAACGCTATGCTTAGCCCTTCCTACTTCACTTGGCGTCGTCGACTCTATTCCGTTTTCACCGTTTATGCACTCATTAGCGGCCTTCTCGTCTTTCTTATCTTGCTCCTCTTGCTTTCTGGCTAGTGGGCGATCGATCTTTTGGGCACTAAGAGCCTTGTCGAGTTCTTTGCTCTGGGCGTTGAGGAGATTTTCAGCAGAAACATCTTCCCCAATGGTGACAAGCTGGTCTAATGCCGCAAGTTGGGTTGCACTACTGCTAGCTCCGATTGCATTCTGGGTCGTGAGAACACCCTCCACATCGTCATCATCATCATCGTCGTTGCCGTCGTCGTTGCCGTCATCATCACCCTTCTCTACCTTCTGGTCTATCGGAATCACCATATCGGCAGGGGAAACCGTCGGGTTAGCTGGAGCGTTTGCAATAGGCGTTGGAGGGAGGAATTCTTGACGTTTCGGCAAAAAGCTTGAATTAATGTCCCCAATCCCGACGAAGAAATCGTACGGCCGTACTTTGACCAAGTTATCACTCCACTTCCAAACATCACCTCGGTCATCGATGATAACGACCATCTTCGTATCAACCGGGAATATTCTATGAAGACTCTTTTGGGTCATGCTCCCGCTCTCATCTCTGCTCAACACCCTCTCACCGAATATTCTACCATCTGGATCAACGATCTTCTTGACCGACATTGCATACGCCCGGGTTCCCATAGTGTATATATGGAGTTCGTAGAGCTGGGAGATGTGTTCTAGGAATTCTTTTAGACCTGGGCGCATCTTTACATAGTACCAGGTGCCTCGGCCACCGATTATATCCTCGTCTAGCTTGAAAGCTTGAACATCCTTGACAGATTCGTGATTGATGCAGAACGGGTCATTTTTCCAATCGCCAACCGTAGGGTCAACCGTAGCATGGATGATGGTCTGATCGAGATCGACAACGAGCGATAACTTTTTCGACTTTAGTAGCCGCCTTTTCGTTTCCTCTTCCAGTCGGGTAGCCTCCTGTTAACGCGCAAACATCATGTTAGGAACAAACTCTATGGACAGAGTCTCACAGCTACACGTTGGGACGGGGAATGCGCACGTCTTGACTAACTGTGAGCCCCATACTATCGTGAACCATATGTATTGTCGCGCGATCCTTGTTGGAAAAGTGGCCGTGATCCAGTCTGTAAACGTATTGCCATCAGCACAAATAGCGGAAACATCTGAGGAAGGGGTTGTTTACAGTGTCATGTCTTGCCCGCACATGCTGCATAAACCGGCGAACTGCACTTCGTGGGAACAAGGTTCCTCAATTTCCATAATGTCGACACTGCAGAGCCTCAGGATTAGCGACCCTCTTCCCCCTCCTCACCCGAACAAACTCCAAAACAATTGCGGGGACAGATGTGCAGAAGCCTACCCAGGGCCTTCGATAACAGTCCCAACTTTCACCAACCAACGGTTTAATCTACCCTCCACGGGGGCGTGGAACTGTGCGGACAACTTTTTCTCCACCTGTCGCTCCTGACCAAACTCCGGGTATTCGGTCACGGTGGTTATGTATGTGTAGAGAAGAACGGCTTCAAGTCTTGGGATGTCATCGTTCGGCTGCTTGAGAAACGCGGTGATAGTTACCGGATATCGAACTGAGCGGGGGAGCTGGACAATCATGCCCCAGTTTCCTCGCACTTGGGCGGACAATGAAAGGGAAACAAAGGACGACAAAATCAAACGCAAGTGAATCGATGATTGTTGGCGAAAGCGGGTGACTAGCGATTGTGTCTGTGGGGGATATGAGGTGAAGGAGATGGACGTGCTAGAGGGTGGGGTGTGCTTGAGTGTTGGGTTAAGTTAAATTGGGGAAAAGAAAGTGTGGGGGAGAGGGGGGGGCTTTTGTTCGAGGTGGGTTTAAGCTTTCTGCCTGTTGGAGGGTTGGACCTTGATAGACGAACGATGGTCTCGTCTCGTGAACCGGGATTCCTCCTAACGCGACAAGGTGAACCTGAGATTCGCCGGTTAACTTATGCCCTAAGTGCCGATGCCGTATTAAAAATAAATTTAACACTGTAGTTTGCCGGTATGATATAAGGTCTGCGGGCAACACCGTAGTTATGTCAGGCGGGAGAGGAGGATGACGGTGATTATTCAGTTGTCAATTAACGTTGGGTTATCGAGAGCCTACAGCAGAGGATTGAAATGTTAATATAGGTTAAACGTGGAGATGCCAAGAAAGGGTTAACAAATAGAGGGTTGGAGAGATAAATTAATCCTATCATACCTTAGAGCAACCTCGGCCCCTGTATCATGAATATCCGATCTCTAGGAACAAACTAATAAGTTATGACGGAAGTGATCGTTATGTGTGTGCAGGTAAGGCCTATAGTATCCCTCGTGGCTTTGTTCTGATTTCTGCCCTTCAAGTTTCCTCGACTTTTCAAGTGAGAAAGATCCGAACGGGGAAGAGGTATGATAGCTCTTCCTTTATATTGTTTGAATATTGTAGCTTTTAGAGAGCTCCCATTTTTCGTGCTTATTACCGGTAGGTGGGCGATACAATACATGGTTGCCGTTCTTGGGGTGCCATGCGCTTCGCATTGGAGTACCGTAGGATAGCAGTGCGCATGCACCACGAGCGGAAACCCCAGTGAACCACCGCCAACCATCTACGAACTGGGTCGTCTCCCATGTTCCAAACGCATAGCTCGATATTCACGAATCATAGCCTGCAGACAAGCACCACACTGCACAAGTAAACCACTCTTTCTTGGTCGGAACCAGTGGGGGGAGCATCACAGAGACCATAGCCCCATTTTACAACCAACCCACCAACCACGCTGTCACATCGAAAATTCTTGCCAAGAATGGGATAGGCACTGGTGATGCTAAAAGTACCCATCACAGTAGTACTGCCTCCGAACCAATATCACAATACCATAATATCCGCTTATACAGGCTTATAGATGAGGTTCACTGAGATTTCTAAAGCACAGTGCCTGTGCTAAATAATGGTTCACTTACTAACCCTAGTCTCAGAATATCCCATCCCATTATCAGAATTGCAGCAAGCTAAAGAGGAATTCTCGCGGTTCTATCTTTATAATATTGTTTACATAATATTTCTCGTGGCATAGGTGAATCTACAATCCTATTAATCCCAAAACTCGCCTTCGTACGGCATGCCCATGAAAACCGTTGTATGTGTAGTAAAGGGGAAGAACCGAAGAATATGTGTCCGGAGTGCCAAGGGCCTATCAACCAAAAAGAGAGAGCAAAAAGAAAGCAAGGAAGAGAACCCCCCCGGGGATGGGGCAATAAACATTAGGAGACGCCGAAAAACCGGCAGTGCCCTTCTCATCCTCCCTGAATATACTCCCCACCAAACCTTTCAACCAACCAACCTTCGAGTTCCAATAACCCCCCGGAAAAAAGAAAAGAGAAGATAACAGCAAAAAGACGTCTAAAATCAGCAAATCTGCTGATAGGAACCTTCTAAATAGTTGCATGGCGATGGGGCTGCTCAGGCTCAGAGTCGTCCCCAACAAACGTCCACGACTCTTCCGATTCATCGTGGGTGTCCGTTGTATGCTTCTTGATAAGAGTACGGGCATACTCCATGTCGCGGTAGATTGCTTGAATTGCAGTCTCCACTCCATTTTCCTAAAGAAAAGTGTTAGCCCTATAAATCTTAATCCAATCAATTAGGTGCAACTTGCCTTCCGGATTTGTGCTCCCAGTAAACCTGCTTTGGCTATCATCCTCTCGTTATGAGTTGCTTCCCAGAGCGCCTTCGAGAATGCACTAGTATTGAGTTTCTTGACACAGATCCCAACTCCGAGGTCTTCGACCCTATTGCCAAAAAAGAATTGGTCTCCAAAGAATGGTTTGACAATAGTTGGGATTCCTGCCCTAAGGCTCGCGCCAGTGGTTCCAGCACCGCCATGGTGTACAGCGGCATCGATCTGTTTGAAAAGCCAGTCATGGGGGGCGGACTTGATCTGATGAATCTCCGGCGGTATGGGAACCTCTGGCTCTTCCGCACTCTTGCTCTTGGAAAGCCTGTCAGACCAGCCCTTGGACAAGATACACCTCACGTCTGCCTTCAATACTGATTCTACAACTGTCCGTGTCATTGCATGTGGATCGGCCACAGTGACAGACCCGAATCCGACATAGACAAGCTTCTTTCCTTCCTCACGAGCTTTCCGAATAAAATCCGTCAACTCCACTGAGGGCCTCCAATCAGTTTGGGTGTCCAAAAACCAGTAACCTGTGACGCGGATCCAATCGCTGTAATCGAGCGGGGGTATAACCACTGAAGGCGAGAAATTATACAGGAACGGAACCTTGTTGGGTTGTAATTTGTCTAGCGAAGTGCTAGGAAGCCCCAGGTGGTTTTTTCTCCATCTGTTGATTTGGCCTGCTGTGGATTTCCAAAACACGTTGTCAATGATTACATATGTGAAGTAATTGTATGCTCCTCCCATCTTATGCTCTGGAACAGCAAAAGCGTGGGGATAAGCCCGAGTTCGAGTCCAAGGCATAGTAAAAGCGCGGAAGTATGGGATTCCCAAGGCCTCTGCGATGTGAATTCCACTCATAGCACTGGGGCTTTCGATCAGAAGGTCAGAGCCTTGGCAGGCTATCCAGGAGCTCAGGAGCAAGCCGTCAAGCCAACCTCGCATCTGTAGGAACGATCAGCAGACGCTCATACCGAGCAAAAAATGGTCTTACCGTAGATGTAGCGTGTTTCATGAAATCGACAGTAAACATGCCATATTCAACACATATCGCCATCAACTCTGCAGGGTTGCCATCAACTGGCGCAAACTCGATGCCAAAGCCCTCGATCCAGTCCTTAAACTCTAGGTGTGTCGCAATCCTGGTTTTGTGGCCCTCAGCCATGAACCCTTTGCAAAGGGCGATGAAGGGCTGGACATCACCCCGTGTGCCAATCGTTAAACAAGTAATCCTCATGGATTCTGCGGGCTTAAAATTAATTATAGATCCATGGGGATCGTCGAAAACGATAGGTGGCGCGTTGAGTGGGCAGTTCGCCTCGTTTGTGGCAGTTGGAAGTTGGGTATCATGGATGTTGTGACCTATCTGGCGTGCATCTTGCAGCATTTGGTGCTCTTGCTTTGCCAATTCCGCCCCTTCCTTCTCCTCGCGCGTCAAAATCCCGCTTTGCTGAAGTACCCTCAGATCGTCCAGGCCTTGCAACAAGGTGATGGCACAGTCATCCCTTGTCTCGACGTTCCCGAACTCGAAAAACAATTCCTCATGGCCCCGGATTGTAACCACAAGCCCTGAGTATCCAAACCGGAATCCCTCCTCCTTGCCCACGTTCTCGATGTCTTTCAAGGGTAAAATCATCTAAATATTTCGTTAGCAAGATCTATCTTTCCTGGTAGGTGAAAATCACCGACCTTAGTTTTGGTCCCTGGTAGGAGGCTCCGGAAACAAAAGTTGCGATTACTCAGATAAATTTTTCCATACAACGGCAAGACTCGGTGTAGATACCCAAAGTATACTGCCTGCAACCTCTCTGTGGACGGCAGTGAAAAACGTGCCCTGAACCGCTCTTCATGGTAGGTCTCGTCGTCATCGTCATCGACATCCTCGACTTCTTCATTCGGCATCATACCCATGGCCCCTCCACCATAATGCCTTCTCCCCCCGACCCACATATCAGACACCTTCTCCAAGTAACTCATAGGCTGTGCAGCTATCATGACCCCCACCTTCTTGGAGCGTTTCTTCATCCAATCGGCCCAATCGGCCGCACGTTGTAGAGGAAAACTCCCTGACTTAGCAATGTCCTGAAGGCGTGGAGATGCCTTTCCAGTAGCTTCGGTATCAGAACCCGACCCCGTGGTAGACCCCCGGGTCTTTTTCCCACTACCAAGCCTCAGCCTGGGGTGGGGCGAGTATGTTCTTGCCCCTTTGGCAGAGTTAGATCTCCGAAGGTCTTCGCTCTGATCTGGCTTCTTAAGAGTAGGCGATTGAAAAACATCACTACGATCCAAAATGTTGCTAGCAGAGTTCCCATATTCTTCATCTGAAGATAACCTGATGGCGTCCGAGGATTCTCCGAAGGATTGGATAATCGACTCGGAGGAGAAGGGCCGGTTTGGAGAGGTTGGTTGAGAGGCACCGGAAGTTCGGGTATGGCGATTTAAATCCGTGCTATGCCGGGCGGGTGACCCTGATCGTCTGAGTGATTCCTGGCTGATGTCGAGGCTGCGACGACCAAACTCGATACTAGGACGAGAAAATTCTCCGCTTGGCCTTGGACTCGCTCTACCACTGTCTGCTGGGGACGGTGGAGACAGAGTATCGCGTACGTGCTCCTTTAGAACCGGGGTTGCCGCCGATGGAGCACTGAGTTTGGGTGACCCAGGCGCAGAGCCCGTGAATATGTCTTTTGGTAGTTTTGACGCAGGTGAATCTTCGACTACGGATCGGAGCACATTCAACGCGTCCTTTCCGAAACTAAAGAATGAAAAGAAGTACTAAATCGCGGCCCATATACTATTAGCCTAAACCTCCCATCAATGCAAACCATCGTACTAAAAGAATCCAACTACCTCGTCAATAGCGTAGGTGTCGCCGTTATCAACAACCTTCAACTTAAAAGTATCCGCAAACTCCAAGACGGGACTTTCTTCTACTTCAATCACATTCTCAACGGGGATCGATATTTTGACACTGTCACCCTCATTGTGCGATCTAAATATCACTTTTTGAAGCGCTTTGACCCATTCCTTGGCACTTGCCGCGGAATCGGCTTTGAAGCAGTACTTTCGTTGGTCAGTAGCAACAATGAAGGTTACTGTGCCCTCTTTGCCCTTGCCTTCTACTAGACTAGCTTGAACGCCGTATCGTAGGTCAATATTGCCATTGAGGAAATATAGGTCGGAGGGATCAGTGTAGTAAGAGAGAACATCCCCTTTTAGGATAAACCAGTATCTGTTGTACTTGACATTTGATTTCCCTCGTTTTGCTAGATAGCCCGATTTCAGGACGACGTTCTAATAGTGGAGATTATCAGTACAAGTCTATTCCGGGGATTTGAGAACGAGTGACGCCCATACATCTTTCCGTGGGAGGTAAGCATAGAAACATATATGCCGAGTAGTAATGTACATATAGCCCTGTAGCAAGACACTCTTCAGAAGCCAACAGGGATACTCTACAAAGCGATTAGCTCTAAGATCACGCGTCTGTGCATTTTGAGGGATAGAAATCAATTTCCTCAGGGAGAATATACCTGATATTACTTCCTCTGTCTGGGGGAGGTTAAAGATCTCCGTAAGTCTCTTCGCCAAATCTGGATGATCCTTAGGTTCACCTTCACCATCCTCAAACATCTCAGCCTCTTTTAGTTGAGCGGCAACAGCAAAATTCGCAGAGTTCATCTGCGCCTGTGCTTGCAAAATTTGACTCATATACGGAGCCGAGCTATTGGAGACGACGCGGGTCAACGGGGAGGTATCTTCTTCATTGGGATCCGCATCATCATCATCCCTTTCCCTGCCCTTCCGTGACTCTTCTATTGAATCGAGACGGAAAAGCTTAGATCCCTTATCAACCAAGTGTTTATCCGCAGATGCTTTATTTTTTCCCGTAGTCTCCGCAGTAGGAGTCGTTGGTTCTGAGTGGGTATAACCTTCATCATCCGAATCCTCGTCGCCGAACCGAGAGCTCATACGAGTAGTTGTCGCTGTGAGGATTTGGAAGAAGCTCTGGTTCATGTTAAAGGGTGTCCCCTCCGTAGCTGCACAAACGTCGGTTTGTGAATCGTCTTCGGGGGAGAAGCGAGGTGGAAGCTGCATAGACTGAGTAGCGTTTGAAGTAGATCTAAAGGGAATGAACCTCTTCTTCTTCTTGCTACCGCTTCTGCCTAGAGTGTGGCAGAGTTTACGAGCGGGAGAGCTCGACCTCTCGTCGTCGGAGCCCATGATCACGTTATCGGGATTGCGCCTGGTGTCGGCGGGGGGGTTATGGTGGTGGTGGGTAGTTTGGGGGGGGTCAAACGTTGAAATATGGTGCTCGTGGTCAGATTGGTAGCTTTCTGGATGGAGGCGGCAACAGGCGGCGGGGCACACTAGCTCTCGAGGATGACTCTTCCTCTCTTTCTCTCCTCACTCTTTCTGCCTCCCCTAGATTTTTTCACCTTCCAAAAGAATAACCTTCAGGGACGTGAGTGGGGGATGGCAGGTGATGAGTGGCTGCGTTTTACCTTATCGCTTGTTGTTGCTACAGCAGGAGAGATGCAGGACCACTGGAACTCTGAAAGGCCGTTGGTTCAGTCGTAACTTACGGTATAGTGCCCGTAGACGACGGAATCAGCAGGGAGAGGCACGGGATCGTCGGCCTCGGTTTCAACGGACACAACCAACCAAAGAAGGGCGATTGGAATGAAGTAGAGAAACGCTCGAATACAAGTAGGAAATACAAGCAAGAGCGTGAAGAGGGTGAAGCTTCTCAGAGGCGTTAAGCGATAACTAAAAGGATGAAGCGGCGGACGGGAGTATGGCGAGGAAGGATGAAGGGAAACCGAGGAGATCCGGGGAAGATATGGCTGCACTTATGATGGACAGGAGGGAAGCGGAGGAAGGGGAATGGCGGTTCGAGAAAGGAAGCTCTATTCATATACTCGTACTATGCTATAGTTCACATACTGTTGCGTCTACCAATTCCTTCAATGGTGAAATCGTTGGGGCGTCCTGCATCACTCACGGTCATGATACCGTAACCTACAATACTCTGCGCTGGAACATGAGCCTCACATCCACACCTTTAACTTTGCACGCTGGTGATATTCTGTACCGGTACTGTGCCCCGGGGACTGCGAGCTGTAGACAATATCCTAATCCACCCCCTCCTTCGTGGAATTCATATTCCGTAGAACCTTAAATAATTGAACCTTGTGCTATGTAGTCGAGAATTCCCTACTTTGGAAAAAGGGTAGAAAAACACGGCAAGAAAAGAGCTGCTCAGGCAGGCCCTCTGAGAGGCAAGAAAGAAAAAAAAGCACCAGACCTTACCAGAGGAGGCAACTTCAACGACATAATACACGGTCCAATTATTTGAGTGAGGTTCTCTGGGCAAGGCGACTCGAGGAGCTCCGAGCTTCTTCATCGCAAATATAAATTTAGATGGCCTCCGTAATTTGACCACCGATCGCATACATCCCTCCGTTAAGCTTTAGGCTATCTTTAATATCCTCTTATGTGTGTGTCGGTACTGCATAGGTACGGGCACTTAGGACCTTCAACAACAATTCCGTGCAAGGCAAGAGCAAGACACGATGCCGGTTCTCGTGTTTTCCTCCACCCTGGGCAACTAAACTTTATACCCGAGAAATGGCAGGATACTATCAATGCATCCCCGGAAGGGGCAAGCTATCGAATTAGAACAGCAGTCCTGCCCCCCCTACAACTACCGTACCAGAAAGACCAGAAGTGCCGGCACCCTGGGATAGGAGAAGCAAAGCTCCAGGGCCGCCTACCACTGTCCGGTGGCCATGCTCCATGGCAATTGACACAAACTCGCTAGACTATCAATATCAGGATCAAGTGATGGATGGATGTAAACCGCCAGACCCCGCGAGGCGACACCCTCAGCTAGGCGTTGCATTTCTTGGCATGGGTCGTGCATGTGATTCTACCTGTTATGGACGAGGACCTTGATTTTTATTTTTCTCTTCTCTTCTCTCAATATAACAACCATCAATGCAACAACCTCAGGAGAGCTTGTCTACTTCTGAGTAGGACTTTCAAAAATACATATATTATTACAAAATATGGTATTTTTGACCAAAGATTTTATACCATACATATAATATATATGTGCCCTAAAGTTTTTTACACTAAATTATAAGCACTAAGCCCTGATCCAATGATAATAAGTTATAAATTAGGTTTCGCTCTGGGTGTGTGGTAGCAGATTTTTCTCTCAATCCTCAGATTAATAGTTTAAGTAGTACCATTCACACCTCATATGAACAACTCAGAATGAAAACTCAAATTTTGTAAAAATAGGTCGTACAAAAGATGAAAAACTGTACAGTACTTTTAAGACTATAGCCCCTGAAATTGGTAAGAAGGTAAGTTCTTAAACTATTTTAGAATTTTATTTTGAATTTACTAAAGGTAAAATAACTTGAATTAGTTCAGTGTATTACATGTGATAAGACCTTTGTCAAAAGCTCAATATATTATTACAAGCATTTATCCAACTGTGCTAAGTGTCAGGAGCAGATGAGCCTTGAAGACAAGGCCAGTATCGGAATCACAAACCTGGCTATAGGTCAAAAATACATTACAAGCAAAGTTCAACAGATTTTTCCTGTAGAAAATCAAGATAATGATCTCTCATTCTCATTAGTCATTTATATAAACAATCCTCCATTTAAAGTAACACAATTGCCATACTTTCTTGTACCGTTTCAGAAAATTTCACCAGCTTATAAGCCACGTAGTCCATTTCTCTTGCCAACCACCTTAGTTGATTAGACCTATCTTTAAGTCATGGAAGATGTTGAGAAAGTCATTCAATCATCCTACTATTTCAATACTATTACTGATGAAAGTGAAAACATAGTCAAGGAACATATTATCAATATTTCTGTCAATGCCAAAAGAGGTACCTTTTATTAGTACTCTGAGAGTACTGGATTGATGTCCTTTACTATAGAGAATTTGGCTTCTTGGCTTATAGTAAAGCTTAGTAAACTTGTTAAGAATAATTAGAAGTAAATCAATAGTTTTGCTACTAATACCTATTTAACAATGTTCCTCTTATGGTGAATTCTTTCTGCTGATCAAAGATTGTAACTCTCAAGGACACTTTTCGTTCCCTGTAACTCCCATGGCCTCTAACTACTCATCAAAGATATATTTAATATCTCTCACTGTAAGGTAATCTAGTTTCAGATCATGTTGATAATCAATATATTTTTTTGGTGACCTCTACAACTGTCAATTCTTCACGAAAAATAAAAAGCATGTTATAGAAAAACTAGTGTCTTAGTCCTTGCTTTGATTACCTACTGGGATACTAAGGCTTGTACTATTAAATCTCTTTATCAGAACAAAGATACCTTGAAGACATATCTACAATGATCAGATTTTACTGGATCATGTAGTTACTCAGCTTCTCTGCTCATGTGATTTCTAGAATAATATTGAAGAACTCTGTGATCTGATCCTCCTAATCCACAAAGTACAAGTTTCGTCAGAATCTTCAAATCCTTATCTTAGACTGGTTGTTTCTTGCTGGCTTACTATTCGCAGTCTCCTTGAGCTGATTGTTAATATGCAGCCTTTTCTGCAAGCAGTTGTTGAACTCTTTGACAACAGAATAGAGTATTAGGTTTTAGTTCTTCATTAGATAACTGTAATGATCCCCCTTCGGATAGTTAGTTGTTGGCCACAGGAAACATTACCTCTCTTCTGCTACAGTACGATAGCTCTTAGGCCTATGCCTATGTTACAGATAGTACAAGACTGTTATCTTCTATCTGTAACACCTATTGCAAGGTCTCTCTAACTCTTTCTTATATAGAGTCTTCTCATCGTAATGTGATAAAGGTCATAATAATAGTAAAGAATGTAAAGGTGTTTTATATTTGTAAAGACATAACCATTAGTCATGTGAAAACTCTTTCCTTACTAAGTCATATTTGTGATAATAATCTACTTTCTAATACTAGTGAATGTTGGAGCTATAACAACTGTTAAGCTGTTAGGAATACCAGAACCCGATACCTAGGGACCACCCTAAGTAGGGTAACCCCACTTGGAATTGGAATCTCTGGTCTCCAACACCCCCCTCTGGCTCCCTTACGGAGCCCGCGCGTCATTACTTATATCAATCTCAGTTGCGTCCTGTGACTACATTACCACAGAATTGAAGGTGTTAGAATAACACCGTATACGTCGCCGCTGTCCGTGCGACCGGATCCTGTTCGCAGGATATATGAGAGGAGACCTTCGGCTAGGCCTGGGAAGTAGGACAGAGTAATTCCGTCAACTACTCAGAGAGTTACTAGGCTTCAAAGATATAACACCTTTGGCATGGGCCTTAAGTAACAGGACGATTTCGCACAATGAGATGGTATCAAATAGTAAAGGATCTCTACTAGAGACCGATACAATTGCATACACCAGAAGAGTCTAGAACTCCAAAAGATACTACCAAAGAAGCCAACAAACTTCACGGAGTGTTGCAACTGGGTTTTGGAACACGTTGTAGTCATGGAGTGATTCTCGATACTACAATAGTTACTGAAACCTACTACTCAGAGAGCAACCAAAGGTTGCCGACCGAGGGATTAATTACCAGTCGAGTGGAGTAGCTTCCTGCGAGTGAATAGGAAGTCATCCAAAGAAAATCTATCAGTTGGGTATGGAGTTACAAAGGGTCGAAATCAAATAACCTATGATGGTTATAATGACGACTACCTTTGCAGATATCGCCATAGATAAGACTGATCATTTTATCAATGGTGAAGACAATTGGAACCAACTCAGTTCAACTTAAGAACTAGGCCATAAGTCTAAAGACTCTGCTAATCGGACTATTACTACTGGAGGGAGTATATTTCCTAAGAAGAAATATAGTAATTACCGAAGAGGGTGTGATGGTTTTCAGGGTCTACAGGTGTTCGCACCTAGGAAGAAAACTCAATGTTGCGAATTACGATTGAAGAGGTACATAAGTTGTATGATAAATAGATGTAGTCCGCGAACACTCAGACGCAGAATATAAATATCGAAGTGCCTCCCAAGCTTTAGACATAATCAAGCAACGGAGAAGAGATCTTAACAATATAATATTGTTTTTACGATTCTAGCTTACCTTACCCACGTTACTTCACTCCTAGTAGTCATAAACGAAACAAGCCAAGTCTGAGCCTTCCTAGACAATCTCCGTCTACAAAAACGAATCTCGA